CTCCCCTACCACAAAGGCGCCCACCTCACACTCCGAAGCTAGCTCCGCGTACGGCATCTCACCCACCGCAAACGTCTCCCACAACAGTACTCCGAATGACCACACGTCGCTGCGCGCACGCAAACGCCTCTCCTGAATCACCTCCGGTCCTGACCAACGCACAGGAATCTTCCTCGTGGGCTTCAGAGGACGCACAGAGGCAGTCAATACGGACCCATTGCCTCAAACACTCATACACCACTAAATACACTGACACTAATCACGTACAGAAATAACATTTGTTCTTTCCTCCACTCCCTACCCTCTAACCGCCATCACACATACAACCAACCATCCCTCCTCGGCCCGTAATAGGTCGCCTCACCGATCTCTGCACCAGCAGAGTGGGCATCCGACTTCCTTGATCCGATAACTTAATGGTGTACACGAGAACACTAATTTAGTAAAGAAGTTGTGTAACTCACAAACACCAAAGAATTTGCACATTATGGCCACAAACCTCCCTCTAGAAACCTGCTTGTCAGTGCGGAGCCAACGATGCCACACAGACAACAGTCTACAACAATGGGTAATCTCGCAGCAGTGCGAAAACATCCGTCCCTTCTTTGTCACCCACAAATGCGACGCTGTGCGTTGATTTACCTCGACTTCAACGAAATGCATCCAAACACGTCACAATCCACGTAAGCGCTCCATGCCCCCTCGGGCCATTGTTGGATCCGTCATCACAGCGGCACAGTGCAATGCTCGGTTACACCTATTCTCCAAGCGACTGAACAACATCTCAATAGAATGCCAGCTGATAAATTTGTCAAATGTCAAAAGAATGGTCAAAATATGCACCACGGAGGGAATTATGGTGTAAAGTGGTCCAGTACAACGACTTTTTTGCGGACGTATACAGGCTCATTATAAACGCTTTCGATGAGCACAATGCCCGAGTCTAAGGTGAAGTCACTTGCCTGGAAGCCGCACAAAATATCGGGATGTCTTACGGGATCCACTGCCTCCGCCACCTTTCAAATTGTTCGCCAAATCTAGCGCTGCAACTTACCGCAATTTCGACGAATCCTTCGTGTGGAATGACGCAGGCCGATTCGAAGTCGTTCAGCTTAGCAGTGAGTGACGCAGTCAGCAAAACGTTACGAGCTGCTACGTCGCCGTGTACCACCTAATGATAAGGGAAACAAGTCACCGTCATTGTCATCAACACTAGTTGCTCAGACACTCTCACTAGCCAATGGACAAACTCCAGGCACATTTCATCCCTACCGCACATGCACACATCACTACATCGCAGCACGCGTGTCAACTTTCTGCACCCTGAATCCCCTCTCCACGCTACCGACCTTTAAACTCCTTCACTCCACAGATGCCTACAAAAGCGAATTGAGCAGCAAAGAGGCCCAACTCATGGACAACCGGGAGGGCTTCTTATCTGGTTGTTCAGGAACCCTGCGGAAACAAATCGTTACCGACAAGAGCACACGCTTCCCAAGCACGCAATAATTCCAGCATCAGCACAAACAATAATTTGATTCAGACCGATTCCGTGAACAGGATCAACTTACGTCATTCCCATCAAATCACTGTCACCGCAAACAACCGATTCCTATATGGTGCCTAACACAAATGCAAATGCAAACCCGTAGATAGACAACTTACAGCGATTTTCTCCAGGTAGACTAGGGCGCTAGCAATGTCACTGACAAAGGAGTAGAGGTCTCCAACAAGAGCTCTCGCACGAGTCCACCAGTACGTCATCACCACCTCCTCCAACGTCGTCTCCGGACGCACACGCAAGGCTCGTAGGTAGCCTGACAGCGTGCCCTGAGGAGCGTACTCTGTCACCAGAACTGGTCTGCTCCCCAGATCTTTTGAGAGGAAAACAGTGCCTCATTCTCCCACAATTTACACCTCCATGCACGTGAAAACCACCAACACATTGCGTTCACACCCCACAAAGCACATGCAACTTGGAGTTGACTAAATGCAATACGGGTTGCCACTGTGCTGGATCACCTTTACTACCGAGGCTATGAAGCTTCGTTAACCCAAAATCTGACACTCACTCTCAAACCCCACACTTTGTATTGTAAAGCCAATCATGTTTACCGATCCTTCCTAATTGAAGGCAAATGAAAATAGACAAGTGACACCCCACCCGGCGCGACAACGACAATAGCGCGACTGGGACTTCAATGTTCTTCATTTGTCAACATAGCTCACTTTGCAAGTTATCCCCACCTCCCTTCCCTCCTCTTCCACTGCCTCCCTATGCCAGGGTGCCATACATTGCATGAATAAATTCCATCGCCAAAGCCTTTTCCTCGACATCAACCAATCGTCTCATAATTGGATTCGCTTAAGCTCCCTAAAGGTTGCACGTGCATCCGTCGGGCACTTCCCTCCTAAACTAAAGCCCACCTCGGTCCACCCTCAACCCCAACCCACACTTCCGAATCAAGGGTGGCGAAAATAATCCACACTACATTTTTGCCAGCCTCTGCCATTTGACATAAGGGTTCGTTGTTTTG